ACCAGACAATGCTTAGCACACTACCAGGAAAGACTCATGGCCCCCTCCCCCGCTGCCACAGTCCGGGTCCTGGATGGCTGAGGAGCTGGGGGACGAGCGACCACAGACAAGAGGAGAAGGGTCTTCCACCAGCCATCCCATACCAGCAAGGACGCTTGATGATCTTGGCAGGGAACTCCTTGGTTCTCGCTGGAGTCAGGCAGCAATGTACCCAAGGACATGGACAGAAAACGGAAAAACAGCAGCTGATTTTCCCTTAAACATGAATTGACCGTCTTATTTGAGCAATGGAGTTAAACTAGTGTTTCCTAGCGACTGCACAGTTGGCACTGGGGCGGGGTTGGTCTCTGGGGTGGGGCCGTCCCAGGCACTGCACAGTGCTGAGCAGTGTCCCTGGCCTCCACCCACTGCATGCCAGGAGCACCCCCAGTCATGACAGCCACAAATATCCCCAGACATCGCCTGGTGTCCCCTGGGGGCAAAATCACCCCTGCATTAGTGGATTCCACGGACCTCCCCAAGAGACCCTGCGTCCCACCATCCTCTGCCCTGCTGAGGTCCCAGGAGGCGGCACGCATTGAAATCCACACCCTGAGTGGGAAGGGAGAGATGAGGAGAGTCCCAGGAGCTGGGGGTTCCCCTGGTTTACATAGCTTGCTCCTTTGGGAGTTTATTCAGGTGTCTACTGTGAGCAGAGGGCAAACGCTATTATTTTCCCAAATCATTAACACAGGGTCTCTCGCTCTGCACTGCTGACATTTGGGAGGGATCATTCTCTGGGGTGGAGCTGTCCTAGGCATGGTGGCTCACGCCTGTAATCCTAGCACTTTGGGAGGCCGAGACTGGCAGATCACCTGCGGTCAGGAGTTCAAGACCAGTCTGACCATTACCATGAAACCCCATCTCTACTAAAAATACAAAAATTAGCAGGGCATGGTAGCAGGCGCCTGTAATCCCAGCTACTTGGGATGCTGAGGCAGGAGGTTTTCTTGAACCCGGGGAGGTGGACGTTGCAGTGAGCCAAGATCGAGTCATTGCACTCCAGCCTGGCGGACAGGAGCGAGACTGAGTCTTAAAAAAAATAAAAGGGGCCGGGCACAGGGGCTCACGCCTGTAATCCAAGCACTTTGGAGGCCAAGGCAGGCAGATCACCTGAGGTCGGGAGTTCAAGACCAGCCTGACCAACATGGTGAAACCCCGTCTTGAAAAAAAAAAAAAAAGAAAGGTAAAAAAACTTTTCCTTTTTCTCTTTCCTTTCTAGTCTCAAGATGTAACTTTGATACTTACTGCAGAAACCCATTTTTTTCCTCTGTCGTCTTACACTATAGCCTTGACATGTTCTTTGACTTCTTCTGAGACAGTGTCTCACTCCCATTGTCCCCAGGCTGGAGTGCAGTGGTGCAATCACGGCTCACTGCAGCCTCTGCCTCCCGGCTCATGCGATCCTCCCGCCTCAGCCTACTGAGTAGCTGGGACTACAGGCATCTGACCACTCCTGGCTAATTTTTGTATTTTGAGATGGGATCTCACTACATTGCCCGGGCTGGTCTTGAACTCCTGGCCTCACATGATTCTTCTGCCTTGGCCTCCCAAACTTCTGGGATTACAAGGGCGAGTACCATACCTGGCTTGAAATGCACTTTTTTTTTTTTTTTTTTTTTTTTTTTTTTTT